AATTTGTATGATAAAAAATAGTTTATTCTATTGTTATTAATATTTAGTTTAAAATAAAAATAAAAATAAAAATATTTTAACATAATTAAGAGGACAATTTATGCATACTCATGTACATCTAATGTACATTCATGAACATGCTATAATGAAATAAGATAATTTTATTAAAAATAAAATAAAATAATTCATATATTTCGTTTTGTAGAATTAACTATTCCATCTTTTTTAGAAAGAACTGAAATTTTGTTCAAATAAAATAAGCAAATATATCGTGGTTGCAGAAGTCTATACATCGCATATAGGTTTATAAGGACATTTTGATATAACCATCAGGCGACATTTGGACCTAAAAGATCGAATGGAATGATACATAGACAAATAAATCTCTTGTGAATTTCAGAATACTCCTTTATTTTATTTAATTCAAAAATTTCAGGAGATTACCCATTTGAAGAGGGTAATATTTTAAATAACCAACAAGGAAAATGAAGGAAAAAAGAAAGTGAATATGTGATTCTAGATTTTCTATTTTTTATTTCTTAAAACATTTAAGTGTAGTGAAAATATATATAAAAAAACATTGATAATTTGATTTGGCACTATAATAAATTTATTTACTTAATTATATAGTTAATAATGTAATATGTATATTGTTTTATTATATCACATATATAAATACATTGACTTGTTAGACCTAACATACTTTTTATAAGTCTAAGTTCAATTTATGAGTTGCATGTTATTATATCCGAGAGATTATGAGTTTGTATACATGTATTGTTGTAAGGCTTGAGAGGATTGTTCTTAAGTTGTTGGATTTTCTTGAAGTCATGCATATTTTTTATGTTGGTTGCTTAGAGTGCCCATGAAAGTTACTCAAAGCGAGTTTGGGTGGTTGTTTAAACATGTTTTCTAACTTGGATCGTTTAGAGCGAATTCTAGTCACTCCAAGTAAATTTTAGTCACTTAGAGCAAGTTGTTGTCACTCTAAACTAGTTGTCTAGTAGCTTTGAGTTAGTTGATTTGGTAGCTCCGAGCTAGGTGATGGTAACTCTAAGCTGGCTCATGGTAGGTTCGAACTAGTTATTGGTAGTTTCAAGCTAGGTGCTAGTAACTCCAAGTTAATTGTTGGTAGATCCAAGCTATGTGTTCGATAGCTCCGAACTAGGTGTTGGTAGCTCCGAGTTAAGTATTTGGTAGCTCCAAGCTAGCTATTGGCAACTCTGAGTTGGGTGTTTGGTAGCTCAAAATTAGTTGTTGGTAGCTTCGAGTTAGCTATTGGTAACTCCAAGCTAAGTGTTTGGTGGTTTCAAACTAGGTGTTGGTAGCTCCAAGTTAAGTGTTTGGTATCTCTAAGCTAGGTGTTTGATACCTCTGAACTAGCTATTGGTAGCTTCAAGTTAGATGTTTAGTAGCTCTAAGCTAAGTGTTGGTAGCTCTAAGTTAAGTGTTTGGAAGCTTTTAGCTAGCTATTGATATCTTACATGATGCATGTTGAAGATTTAAATGTATTTCTTCGTATGTTGATAGTTGAAGGATGATTATAAGTTGCATGATGGATGACATATATGATGATGTTCGTATTGAAAGGTGTAAGTCAATTGATGTTTGAGGTGTAAGATGTTAAAGTTGGACACGTTAAGTTTAAGTTGTACAATGAAATGATATGTCAATACCCATGAAGTTTGTAAGTTGATGTTGTATTTGATGCAGTATATGATGTAGAGTAGCATGTTGATATAGTGTTTTATTTGTTAGAGTTGAAAGTTTTAAGTTGATAAATGTTGAAAGGTGTATTAAGTTGTGTTATGCAAGTTGACTCATTTTAAGACGAGTTATGATGTTAAGTTATAAGTTAAGAGATGTTAAGTTGTAAATATGTAAAGATGTTAAGTTGTAAGTCAAAAGATAATTTAGTTGTGAAGTTGTATGTTATTAAGTTGTAAAGATGCTAAATAATTAGACATGTGGTTGAAATAAATGTCTATTTTATATAAAATTTAGAAGAGAGTTAAAGATGTCAAAATTTAAATATTTCATTGCGTAGATATACGTTACGGTGCTTTGAAAGTCTAGTTGAACCCTTTAATGAGTAAGTTGACTTTTAAATGGGTAAGTTATTTCTAGCTTATGCTAGTTGTTATTTATAGCTTTATGTTAGTCATCTGACTATAGTGCTAGTCATTGTTTTTAGCTTTATGTTAGTTGTTATTTCTAACCATAATATCAATTTTTTTAGCTTTATTTTAGTTGTTGTTTCTAGCTTTATGTTAGATATTGTTTTTTTGTCTCAGTGTCGATCGTTGTTTTTGACCATAGTATTAGTCATTATTTATGGTTTTATACCAACCGTTGTGATTTGGTAGGGTCTAGCACTTAAATTGCTCACTTCATTT